GTGTGGGGAGGGTGATTGCTGATGGGTGGTGGGAGTAATGGCTGAGGAGGATGCTCTCCGTTTCTTAAGTCTCTTGGGTATTTAAGCGTCCAAAATGTAGCAAAGATGGCAATGACAGCAGGTGCCACACACATGCACGCACATACATTCACACAAGCACACGCACACACGCACACACTTACGCATGTGTGTGCATGGATGTACCGTTACACTGATGTCAGAGCCCATGAAAATTTAATACAATGGAAAAGAAAGCAAAGAATTTGTAATTAAATTAACCATTTGCTGCCTCTTTCTTTTTCTCCCACTCCCCATGTTTTCTGCTCTGTTTAATACCCTTTCTGAGGTTAATACGGTTCTAACTAGAGGAAAGCCTTCTCACTTTCTGTATTGCTCATCAAAGTCAGTACTCTACAGTCGTCTGTCGTCTGTCTACACACTCTTCTGTATAAAATGGGACCTCCAAGACTAATATATCATAAAATAGTCGTTGGAAAAATAAATCTTTGTATGAAAAGCTAATTAGTTTCTAGTGTGGTTTTTGTTTCAGGGTTAAACTAAATTCTCAATAGCACTGGATGACTATAAGATAACCATATGTATAATATATAATATGTACATATGTAAGAGTATTCAAAGCTTCGTTTCCCGATGCTATTACGAGTATATAATGATTTTTTATTTTGTTGCTCTTGTTGTTTTGAATTAAATATTTTTGCCTTTTGCAGTGCGCGTGTGTGTGCCCTTCCGGGATGTGGCTGGAGTTGAGTGGGTCAGCGGAAACCTCAACAAATTCCACTTACGGCCGGGGAGTCCCAGACTCAATCAGTTCCTTGTCCAGCTTCAGGTTGTGGTGCTCCGTCTCCATCTCTCTAGCTGGGATGAGGTTCGGTTTTGGGGTTCAGGTTGTATCTGAGGTTCAGGTCCAGTACGACACTCTGGAGAGAAATGTGAAATGAAAAATCGACTTGCAATTAGCAAACATGAAACATGACTACCTCACAGCTCATCCCCCGTCTGTCTTTGAGGTATGTGTACAGACAGAGCCTGGCTCCGGCTCTGGAGCTACGAGGGAGCACTCCAGGAGCTGGCAGCGTTGTCAGCATGGTTAATAAGTTACTTTCGAGATACTTTATTACTTCCTTGGTGGTGAGCGACAGCTGTGTGTGTGTGTGAGCTTTACAAAGGGTTGCCATTTCTCCACCCCAATCTCATTCCGCCGTCGCTTTCTCTATGTATCTCTGTCTGTGCGTGAGTGTGTGCAGTTTTTTAATTTATGCGATTTTTGACTGCCGTTGCCCACAGCGTATGAATGGGTGGAGATCCAGCTAGATGGGGGTGGTAGAGGGGGAGGCAAGAGTGCGTTGCACAGTGACATGCAGAGTAATTAAAATACATTGAGCGGGCAACGTATGGGAACGGGCTACCTGGAGACCAAACATCCTCGAATCTTCACGAAAATTGCCTAAGGGCATCATAGCAGAAACAACATTCATGTACAAACAGTTGAACCCGCAGAATGTATCATGCATTATTTATCAGGAGTTATGTACCGTGTTTTTTTGTTCCGGTCAAGACCATTGTAATGTTGGAGAATGGAAAATATAGTTCGGATGACGAAAACAAAATCTACTACAAAATCTTCGAGTTTTTTCATGTGATTTTTCATGTAAGGATTGGCGAATCTCGAACCACAGTGTCGGGCTTCGATTGTCTATGCTTGGCGCACAAAAGTAGGCAATAGTTTCGTTTGCGGAACGTTATCATGAGGACAGACAGGGTGCCCCCATGCACACACCCTGTACCGTGCAACCTCCGACCAGCAACCCCGTGGTACCCGCAGACTTTCGTCGAGTTCCCCATTCGAGTTTTTCCTTATTTATGCAAATGAAATCAATGCTTGTTGACGTATATGGATGTGTTTGTGTATGTGTATGTGTGAGTGTGTTTGTGTCAAAAGAATAGAATTTTTCATTTTAAATTACATGCCAGCGCATACATATACATGTGTGTCTGTGTCTGTGTGTGTGTGCAAAGAAAACTTTTGTTCGTTTGTTGTTGAAGAACTTTTGCATCGAGACTGAACTCAACTCCACTCCACTTCACTCCATTTTGAACCAAACCGAACCAATCTGAAACGTTCTGAACCGAGCTCCACTGCTGAAACGCTGTCGAACCACATTAAAGGTAACTATGCAAATATTTTTGCGGCTCACACGAGCAAACCCAGAAACCAAAGCTTGACCCGGACCGGGGCCCCACGGGGGACCCAGACCCTGAACCGAAGAACCCTTTGCCCTCATTTGCAGAAGGCGTTTTTACCCCCTCAGCCCTCTGTGCGCTTAACCCTTTGAGTGCTTAGGTGGTAGCCAAAAATATTCCATGCTGGTCAATAGCAAAACTACAGAGCCCCCATTCCACTAGATAAAACCCACATTCAACCTCTCATTGAAGTTCGTTTTCGGCTCTAATTGTGTTTGGCCGTGTTCGCTTTTAGTTATTTTTTTTGGCAATCACTTAGTCAACTTTCAACTACTTCTCTCACTCCGTGTTACAGCGTGTGTATTTTCCTCTGACTCTGAACCCATTTATAGCTCTTTTTCACGCTCAACCCATCTAAATTTCCCTTTCGCACACATATGTATGTACACATGTATGTATGTAGTTGGGACTCGCTATGTGCGGAATTTCTAATGTAGCCACATAAATCAAGTGGCAGCAAACCAGAAAACATTGCAATCCTCACCAGTCCCCAATCTCTGCCTCCATGCCCCATGGGTTCGCCTTCATCCTTCATCGTTTAGCGGTGGACGGAGGTTTCTCCTGGTCAGTGCCCGGGCTAATTGAAATTAAAAATGTTGCCAAGAAATTGCTGAGCATTTTTCATTCGATTGTCAGGCCGGAACCCATCCACACCAAAAAAAAAAAAAAAGAAATAAGAAATGTTCCTACTGATTTATGCTAATGTAAGGCAAAGAAAAGAGGAAAATATTGGAATATTTGTAGCAAATTAATAAGCGAAAAGAGTTAATTAGTTTTAGTTCGTACAGTTATCTGAATCAATAGTTGAAACTCTGGAATATGCAACAGCAAGATTCAAGCCCAACAAATCTTAACCGCTTACATATTTACTTTTCTGGTAGTAAAATTAAGTTGTGTAATATGCAGTAACATGCTGCTTAATATTGAAGAAAAATCATATGCTGATCGATCCTTTTTACACACCAACGGGAGCGGAAGTTCACTGCCGATATTAGAAACATCCAAGATTATAAATGAATCTATTAAATAATTTATTCCTAATTAGCGTTCAAGACAACATGAAATCTGTTGTTGTGCCTCTAGAAACGACTCCTCCCACGTTGGTGGTACCAGAACTCCAAAACAATTATAGTTTACGAACTGGTTGGGGAAGATCGGTTTACATTCCTCCCTCCGCATATATACCATAATATTTACATTTAAAATAATATGCATATACAAATGTTTAGGCTGTGTTGAGCTAAACGCAGCTTTTTTCTTACAGAACAAGGACCTCTAAAACTTGGAAAAAGCAAAAATATATGAGCATAAATGGTAGTTGGTTTCTGGCATAAGCCCTGAACGCTTTCTCTCGGCGGTTAAACGCTGCTTTTGTTTTTATTTATCTGAACCAGTCTCCCATAAAGATTGATTGGTTTGTGTCTTGAATCTTCCGATCGATGGTCTCTAGTCCCATATAAATATTCCCCGAAGACCCGCATTGGAAACATCCAGACATCATGTTGTGTATATCCTTTATTTGGTATTCGAATTATTTATTTCTTGTAATATTAAAAAAAAAAATGACAATGATCACATAAAATATTTTTCGTTTGTAAATTACAGAATTTTCTTGTCATACAATACAATATTATAATATATATACTCATATATATATATAATATTTTTTTTATTTATATTTATTTTAGTGTAATTTTGTTTATCATCATAATTTATGACTTCATTAAGTACAATGAATCTTTTAAGCCTGCTATTATTCCATACTGTTTGCTTTCCGTTTTCCGGTTTTAATTTTCTGGTTTGCTTTGTTTTTTTGTTTAAATTTAATTTAATTTTTTAAAATTCGTCTAAATTACCTTTTGGTTTGGGTGCCCTCTTCTCCGTCTCTCTAGGAATTTATTTTCCTTATCTCCCTCTTCTTTTCGTTTAGTTATATTTAATGTTATGATTAGACGTAAGACGATACAAAAAAAGGTGACATTATGTTCAACTACTTTTTTGTTACTTAAGATTACACAATTATATTATTTATGCTTTTGGTTTTTCGCTATTCTTTTTTGAATGTATTGCACTGAATTTTAGCCTATTTATTTTCATTGATTTTTTCGCAATTTGCTTTTCGTTTGTGGCGGCTTGGTTGATGCCTTTTGCCAATTCCGGCAATGGGGTCACATTAAAACTTATGATCCTACAGAGACAACCACGCATATATATATATTCATATACTCCGTGTATGATCTTTTATGGAACATTCATATGTATTCCCTGCTCCCAACCACAAAAGTCATACATACCCATACACCATACATCTAGTTGTAGGTGTTCTCTTGATATTACACACACGTTTTTCCATTAATTTCCAATATTACAATAAAAAAAAAAAACAAAAAAAAGTAACACGATTACATCCTCTAACTTTGGTATTGAATATATTTCCCGTTTATGTTTTTATTATTTTTGTATCTCCACTTTTGGTGTTTGACTTTTCCTCTAAACTAAACTTACTTTGAGGGGCTAGAACTCGGGTTTGGGGCTGGGGTGGGGTTAGGGTTGGGGTTGGGGTTTTGTGTGTGGGTGGAGGGGCTGATTAAATATTTAAGAATATTATCCATTTCGTATGCAAAAAATTGACCAAGACATCAACACCAAACAAATGGCCTACATTAAACATATACTTTTTCAAACTCCTACTACTATATTTATTTATAAGTTTCTATAACTTATAGTTTTTTTTTTTAGTATTTGATACAGACAAAAAAAATGTTAATCGTAAATCGTATTATGAATATTATTACTCACTTACTTTAGGTTTTAATTTTTATACAGTTTCTATCAACACGACGAAAGCGTCTAGGATATAGGATGTGCAACAGCTCAATCTAACACTAGGAAAAGGATCTGTCCGTTTTCCAGGCGGACTCAATATATACGTAGATTTCTACACATATGTATCTATGCGCTACATAAAGATCCTTGGGCTGGGAGATGTCTCGTTCTTCAGGTTAAAGCAAATATCCCCACCACAATTCTTATAGTCCGTTTTATGGGGCCGACACTGAAGCCGCCACTTCTCCACTCTATTGGTAGTATATTTACACTCACGAACCCTGGACGGGACATCGGGGCTACCAACTTTTGCTTTGATATCCTCCTCGCTTAGATGGGTGTCGGCATCAGTTTGCCGTAGTCCTGGTGCATGCTTGGCTTCACCGAGTTGTAGACGGTCCGCTCGGCGTCGTCGGGCAGGGCATAGACATCGGGCGGAACGCAGAGCGACTGCAGCTTGGAGATGTACGAGTCGAAATGCTCGTGCGGATGCGGGTGCGGGTGTGGGTGACCGTGTGGATGTCCGTGCGGATGCGAGTGTGGGTGGGCATAGCTGACGGGATGATGCACGGTGTAGGCATGATGCGGTGGCACCGGCGGCGGACCCGGGGGCGGGCCACCACCAGTACCCGTCCCACCCTGATGACCGTACATTCCGCCACCAATACCCCCGCTGCTGGCCGATGGGGGTGGTGGCGGTGGCGGCAGCAATGTGGAGTAGGCCGTGGCGTGATCTCCGCCGCTTCCGGCTACCAGTTGACCCCCGGCACACACGCTGTCCAGGCCATGCCCCGACACCACCTGGCCGCCGGCGATCGAGGCCGAGACGGAGACCGAAGTGGGTGGTGCCGGTGGCGGCGGCAAACGCACGTGCTCCAGCAGCGTGATCACGTTGTTGCGCAAGCTCTCGTAGTAGTTGTTTAGGTTGGCATTGGGCGGGGCTACACTCCCGTCCACCGGGGCATGCGACATCATGCCACCCACATTCGTGTTTGGGTTGCTGTTCCCGGTACCTGGCGTCAGGCTGCTGATCGAGTGGCCCAGATCGTTGCTTCCGTTTCCGTTGTTGTTGCTGGAGCTGGTTGCGGGACCTGTTCCGGTCCCGCTGGTGGAGCTGACGCTGGCGAAAGGCGATTGTCCGCTGGGTGAAGCCATGGCCACATTGGAGGAGCGCTGCTGCTGCTGATGGCCGCTCAATGGAGATGCCTCCTATGGGGATGGGAAGAAAATAGGTTATTGAGGTGGTTAGAAAGTCTTCAAGCTGGCGGTGCGAGGGATGGAGTTGGGGAATGAACTATACTAATACGATGGTCACGGCTGAAGGCTTCAACTATGTTTTTCAAACCCCAGACACCTAGGGACCAATCAGATCTCTGTGATGTTACACTTAAGCAAGTATATTTTTCCAATAGTATATTTCCAATAGAAACTGTGTGCCGTGTATCTTAATGTCAATGCACGAGTGGTTCGATAGATAAATTCGGGTTGTAATTATTTGCTTGGTGCTGTCCATTTCAAAAGGAGTTCGAACTAGGTTCCTTTCAAATGGAACTTGGGGATATTATCGAAATGGAGGTGTAGTTTGTTTCGTTTCGAATTGAAGGTTAGGGCTGTTCCTTTCGATTGGAATTTGAGGGCTGGCCAGTCGTTTGGCTGTCGGCGACCCCGTGGTATGGGGAGGGTTGGACTTTTCTACCTCTAAACATATGTATGCACCTCGCTCACTCACACTCCCACCCAAACACACACCCACTCATGATTCGTTATGTGCACATACGAGCATGTATGTACGGATTTATGTATCTCAGGCAAATTGAAATTCCAATAAGGACGCACCAAACACACGAATAAAAAAAGAGAGTGGGTGACAAGAAATGAAGAGCAAGAAGGAGGCACAACAACAATAAGAGAAGCAGAAAAAAATGTTCAGAGGACGAATCATCGACGATGCCGTCACGAGCACAAACGAGAGGGAGAGAGGAAAAGCAGGTTCCGTTATTTTTTTCAACTTTGCCTTTCGCTATTCGGAGTTGTTAGAGCTGACACTCACTCACACACACACACGCACATGTCTCCCCTTCCCCACTGCGGAGGCTACGAAAGGTTAATGCTGTCTGCCTTTGCCTCTGCTGCTGCGTCGGATACGGTTTGTGCCCTCTGCCGTTGCCGTTGCCGTTGCCTCTGCCACTGCCTCTGCCTGTGCTCTGCTACTGCGAAAACACTGCTGGCTCTCTGCTTCGGCTGGTGCTTTCTCCGATGCTTGTGCTACTGCTTGTACTGCTTGTACTGCTTCACCTCTTCCCTTGCTTGCTGCCGCTGTCGCTGCCTCTGCCTATGCTCTGCTTTGACCGTAGCACAGTTATTTGGTGTATTTCTTTTTGGTGCTGCTTTCTTTCTTTTTTCTTTGTCCGCTTTAGGAGCAAATCGAATGGTGTTCTGCGATTTGCTGGCTGCGTGTTGGGCTGGCGCCTCGCCTCTGACGGGGCTGCAGCTGCCTGCGCATGACCAGCATCACACACACACCAAAACACATACTGACACTGACACTCACACTCCTTGTGGTCTAGGGACATGCGTGTGTGTGTGTGTGTGTGTGTGTGTGTGTGTATATGGGAGCTTGACGCTTGTGTTTAGGGGTGTGTCTGTCTCCTGCCACCTCTCCACTCTCCTGCTACCTAGTGGAATCTGATTCGCTGCCACAGATGCAGTGCGGATGCAACGTCACCGATTGGTTAGCTGTCACACTCTGATGGAGAGGGGTGAATATCAAAACTGCATTTCGGGTTGTTTCAAATCTAGCGCTGATTCCTTCTCGTCTTGGAACAGTAAATAATTCCAACTGGAAAAATTCAATGGATATGTATATTGCGCTTCACGCTGTGAAGATCCATAGCTCTGAAATATGTACATATGTATATATGTTCAAACTATATGTACATACATTAAAACGGAATTTGGGGCTCATTTTCCACTTCAGACCAAGGGAAAGCCTTGGCAAAGGACACATATTGCATATATCAAATGACCAAATTAGCTGTCATCACTTTGCCTTCACTGTGCAATTACATTATAGTCTTACCTACTTGTTTATAAAGTTAATCCAACAAAACTTTTTTGATTATTGTGCCATAACAGTTTAATTGGAATCGGACCACTATTAGGGCTACTTATAGGAATGACCGCGAGAGTCCTTTCCTGTGTTTTAGTCGACAATTTGACAAAGTTAATACAGTTAGTTCAATGACGAGTCGACGTGAAATGCGGCTGATAAAAGTTTCCCCTTTACTTTGCTTTGCTGTACTTTGGCTCATTGTTTCAGCCCTTTGTCGGGAGCTTTGGAGACGTCCTTGAAAAGTGTTAAGACAAAACTCAGGTGCCGATAGACAGTACTTCGGGAAAAACAAGAAAAAAAAAAAATGAAAAAAATAACAAGAACTCGGGGGAAAGAACTCCACTCAAAGTCTCGTTTTGAGTCAAAGTTTAGGCAACCCCAGCCCCCTCCCGACCGACAAGTCTGGCCAAACTTTTCGGCGCGTTAAACTTTCCCTATGACCATCATATTGCGCTACACAGGGCAAAGGGAAAAGGGTGCACTTAGCCTAGTTAGATATGGTGTTAGTTCTCATAATTTGTTGCCGTCAACGAACCTGAGCCTACGTACCCGATCGCTGGTGCTCAGCTGCGACTCCATCGCATTGATGTCGGACTTGAGCCGCATCATCTGCGACTCGACTCGGGCGTTCTCCCGCTGCAGCTCGGAGATCTCGGCCTCCAGAGTGTTCAGATCGTCGCTACCGTTGCCGGAGGCAGGCGCCGTTCCGCTCTTCTCGTTGTTTCCGCCGTTTCCGTTTCCGTTGTTGTTGTTGTTGCTGCTGCTGAGACTGCTGTGGGCACTGTTGCTGCTGCTGGTCACTCCGAGGCCAACGTTGACGTTGAGGCCAATGCCGCCCACGCCGCCAACACCGCCGGAGCTGCCCACGCCGCTCATGACAATGTCCAGGCCGCTTCCTCCTGCATGGTGGAGTAGGATGGTTGATGGGAGAGAGAAGGGTAGGTCAAAGGACACAGTTAGTGGGTGTAGCCGATAGCGCTCTCTTAGGAACTATTTTTTTGTTTTTCTTCTGTTTTTAATCTTGATTTTTAGTTTTTTTAGTCTTGTCTCTGGCATTCCACGGGTTTTCTATGTGCGCGTGTGCTAGCAACTCAATCGGAGCGTGTGTGGGTTGGGTTGGTGGGTGAGTGGATCATAGAGTGCGTGGGACAGAGAATGTGGAACAGCTTGATGACAAATTCATACTGCACGCACATGCATCGCTGAACGTGAAACCCCCCTTGGAAATTACAGCATTAAAACATTGAAAGTAAAATACTCGTACAACACTGAACGTGGAACCATGCTTTGGCATAAGGATGCCTGAGGAAGACACTGAGGAATGTGGAACACTTTATTGAGAGCATGTTCTGTTATTCACTTTTTGTTTCATTCCATTGTACTCTTTGAGTCGGAAAATAAGCTTATCGATTTCGTTTGAACGGCAAATTGACAATCACGCGTCAACGTCGAAAGGAACCTTTCGGTGAAGCTGCGTTCGAAAGCTACGGGCTCAGGAAACAGGAAGCTATCTTTATATGGGTACGAGTAGATCACAGTGTGTGCCTCAAACACCGAGTGAATCGCTGTGCCCTGCGTAGAGTGGCTGGGCTGTGATGTGGTGTGTGTTGGGGTGTTGGAGTGTACGAGTATAGTTGTGGCTCTGAGTGGTGGGGACTGTGGTGATGGGTGATGTGGCCGTGATTGGATATGATTGGCAGTGTGTGTTTTCATCTTTAATGGACATATGTTTGTATGGATGTATGTATCTTCGGGGCTTACCTTGATCGACAGACCTTCTGGGAATATTTGTATGTACATTTTTTGTGGTAGACTTGAATTTTTTGATTTTTGTGTGGGTTGTATAACAATTTGCTGTATATATATGTATATACACAACATATCTTCTCTATATACTACATATACATATATATGCATGTATTTATATACACACATACATGTATGCTATGTTTTTTGTTTTATTTGTTTTATTTGGGGGTGTCTGTATTTCTGTATTTCTGTTCTTCTTTTGATTTTGTTTGCTGGTGCAATTGCAGTTTCGTTTTTCGCTTTTCGCTTTTCGTTTTCTCGTTTTTCATTTGCATTTTCATTTATTTTTGGTTGGTGGTTGTGGTTTCATGTTTTCGGTATTTCGGTATTTCGGTATTTCGGGCTGTTTTTGATCAGTTTCGTTTTCTATCTACAGTAGATACTCGGCACCGATACAAAATGTTGCGTAATCTAAAAGACAACGCCAACAAAAACCATGAAACGAAACGAAAAGAAGGAACACAGAATTAAATTAGAATTAAAACTAGGAATTTAAATGTTTTGCTTTTTCTTTTGTTTCTTTCTCTTTTTGTATTATCTTCTTGGTTGCTTTAGTTTCTCTTGTTCTCTAGGCACACACACACACAAGGATATTCAGAGGATACAGTTGTGTGTGCGTGCTTAGAGATCTCAACGGGTCGATCGTTCATGTTATGTACCGGGTTAATAGAGGATTTATTGGTTGGTTTGTGGAGTGGGGTTTTGGGGATTTTGGTGTTGGATTGTTGGGGTTTTTCATAGCCCGTATCCTCTTTAATTTGAAAACGATAAATTTTGTCTGGAATTTATATTTCCTATTCGTATGGTTTTATTATATTTTATTTTTTGCATTTTCCGAAACCAAAACCAAAAATAAAGTCTTTCATCTTTGAATATACTTGTAACTCATGTCTTTACGATTACGATTATCTATTCTTTTTCAATTTTTTGTTTGTATACTTTTTTTGACGTTAGCACACGCACACAAAACTCCAACCGAAAGTTTTTTCGATTAAAAGCGAGCAACAACAGAGAAGAATTTCGGAGCCCTATTTCTCAGTACCCGTTTCGATTTGTTTTTTTATTTTTAATATTTTTAAAATATTTTCGAAAGAGATTTCTACGAATCTTAGGGTAGTTCTATAGTGGAAGCGATGAAAGTTGGAATGCATGAAGATGACTAACATTTTAGCACTTAAGTTACACTTTAATGGGGCTTTAGCTCTCAAGATCTCTTTCTGAAAAGAACGGCTTTTTTCTAGTGGAAATTGTCAAGAAGCTAAAGTGATTCCAATCATTTAAAAGATCAAGAGCTTTGAATGTAACGCCCGTGGATTTTTCATGTAAAATTAACAAAAGTCTGCATATCCAATATCAGGAGACTTTGAAGGAGACCACTGTCTGGTGGTTGTATCTTTGGAATTTGAGAGTCCTTTGGAACCATATTTAGTGGATAGTTTTCTCATTGGACCGGCGATCATCACTTTTTAAAACTATAACAAATAATTTCATCATTTCATTTCGGGTTCGGCCTTATTATTCTTCTGTGTGTTGCAGACTTTATGAAAATGCCATTATGACCCCACCTCCGCCCTGTTTGAGAGGAGGTGGGGTAGTATAATGGCAATGGGCCCAGTTCATAACAGAAAAAAAACGCGCAAGAGAGAGATGCAGAGACAGAGAGAGAAGGAGAAGGAGAGATAGAGACCTTGACACTTACCAGTATAGCCCTTGGGATAGACCATGGTGACCTCGTCGAATTTGGGCTTCTTGATTCCCTGGCCTCCAACAGTGGTGCAGGCTGAAGAAAGAGAAAAACAGAGGGAAGATTGGAAGAAATAGTTCAATAGAACGATTGGGATCATTAAAGCTTCTGTTGAGGTCTCTTCGGGGATCTTACCATCGAACTTCATAGCTGTGGCAGCGGCCACAGCGGCCTTGTGCTGCTCCACAGTGCCCCCAGCTTCCAGGACCCTCATCTTGTTCCGATTGGCTATGGGACAGCCCGAAGCACTGGAATAGACAGATATCCATCCCTTTTATAGAAAACCAATGCAGAATCGAACAGCCGACATCCCAGATCCCAAATCGGCAAACCCAACTCACCTTCTGTGGGAGAGGAACTTGCCGGTGGAGTGACCGGAGCCATCGCATCCTGGTATGGGACACCGCAGCGGCTCCGAGTCCTGGCCATCGCGCGGCTTGCTCTTGGGCTTGTTGGCCCGGGGACATCCGGAGAGGCTGCGGTGCGATGAGTAGTTGCCGGTCACATGGCCGGAGCCGTCGCAGCCGGGTGTGGGGCACTTGAGCTCCTGCGAGTGAGACTGCAGATGATTCCGGTCCGAGCGCGAGCAGCCCGTCAATCTGTGGATGGTTCGGGATGGAACATACGTACAAAGGGATTACTGGCTGACCCAAAAGTATTAAATCAGGCCAAGAGTGCTAAGAGTGCTCTTGGCCAGATAAGATTGCTCCCTCTATGTGTGTTTGTGAGTGTGTGTGTGTGTGGGGGGCTTGCGTGTGTGGTGGCTAAGACTTTGGTCTTGAAACTTTCAGTTTTAAAGTTTCATTAAACCATCTGCCTGTGAGTGGGGAGTGGGACTAAGACTGGGACTGGTTTTATGACCGCTCTGCGTCAACTCTCCGCCGTAATCATAAATATTAAAGTCCCGGGTCTGTGACACAGTGGTCCGCCAGTGATGTGCCTGAAAGCTTTAATGACCCTTTTTTTGAAGCGGAGCTCAGATCAGGTGGTGGTGGGACACTGTCCGATATAGAATACATAGACAAAATAATCTACAATAAACATTTTGTTCTGTTCTTCCAACATTTGCATGTTCCCAAATTCATATTTCCCACAATAATAAAAGCAAACATTTAATATGTAGAAGCTGCTTCAACTAGAAAAGTTGTCCGTTGAATAAACTTGGAACAGTTTTTTGTCGAGTGTAGGATATTTTCACACATGGTCGTGTCCCTTGGTGCATAATTCATTACATTACTACAGGCACAGGGAGCATCTCTCCGAGGCGCATCCTAAGCGCGGACTTACCCATCCTTGGTCTTGTCGTGCTGCGGTATGTGCTGTGGCGGTGGCATCGAGTAGCAGGTGGCCGGGCTGGGCGAATAGCCGCCGGAGACGGGTGTCGGATAGCCGCCGGGGCCTACCGCCGTGGCATACGGATTGCTGCACTGATACGCGGCTGGACCATAGCCATGATAGCCAGCCGGAGGATAGTCCGACTGCACCACCATACCGTATCCGGGATGCGGGGAGTACCCTGGAAGAACAAAGAGATCATATTTAACGCTGGTCCTGGAAAGGCATGCTCGCGGCGTTTATGTGTAAGTATTCTTTGCCGGATTGGTGACGGGTGGTTCCAAAGAATGTTTCACATTATTAAATACTACACATATCTGACAGTAAGCATGGAAATGTATTGCACTCAAGGGGAATACGAGGCATATATGTAGTTAAACCGACGGGTTTTAAACTCCGATGAGTTTACAGGGTACAATAGAACTGTTTCGTCCTTTTTTATGGGTTACTTACCGCTCGGATCTCTGTACGTCTCGATGTAATGAGAGCCGCCGCTGTCCGGTGTGGATTCACGGCTGTAGGGCCGCGGTCCACTGATGTGTCCGACCAGTCCGAAGCCTAATGGTCGCGGCGGGCCGCTGAAGTCGACGGGCTCCATTTGGGGGGAACGTGGCGGTCCGTTGGGACCTAGGGCGCCGGGTGCTCCGCTGCCAAATCCCTGGGCATGACCCACGACAAGGCCATCGGCGCCGTACTGGGGACTGGTGATGATGCTGTAATCCCAACTAATGAGTGATCTGGTGGATGCTGTGCTGGAAACTGTCGAGTGCTGTCTGCTTACCTGTGTGGGAGCCGGGTGACACTGAGGTCCAGGGTCTGGCCCTGCGGACTGGGCACCTGGGGGCTGGCTATGTTCGGACTGGCCCCCGGCTGGGGGCTGCCGTTGCCCATGCGCTGGTTGTATTGGTTGTGGGAGGCTGGTGAATTGAAACCGTGCGGACTGGAGGAGGTCACCGATGTGGACCCGGATAGGTCTACCGCTGGCGCTGGCACGCCTCCAACGTTCGGGGTGGGCGAGGAGCTCTGTTTGCCGTGTTGCTGCTGCTGCTGCTGCTGTTGTTGCTGCTGCTGCTGTTGCTGCTGCTGCTGGTGGTGTTGCTGCTGCTGTTGTTGCTGCTGCTGCTGCTGCTGGTTCTGATAGGCGGCTGCAGCGGCGGCTGCCTGGGCAGCGGCCATCTTCACGGACAGATTAATGGCGGAAAAGCCCGGGGGGAGGGGGCCCATGGTGGGATCGTAATGGTACATGGGCCGCGGATAGATCGGCCCCGCACCGCCGCCATTGGCCAACTGCTCCTCGTGCTCGGCCTTGGCCAGCATTAGCTGCTGCTCCTGCAGATACTTTTGCTGCTGCACCTGCAGATCGTCGGCGCTCTGGGGCAGATAGTGATAGGCTGCCGCCGCCGCCGCTGCCGATGCTGAGGCAGCTGCCACGCCCGCCACGGACGCCACCTGACGCTGTCCGTTGGGGCAGCAGTTGGGGTCGTACCGCTCGAAGCCGCCGGCTCCAGCGGAAACGGTCACCGCTGACACGGAGTCCACTGTGGCGAAGGCGGGCGCCCCCACCACCGATGCACTGCTGAGGGAGCTGAGCGAGGTGGGCGGGTGCGGATGTGGATGCGGATGTGGGTGTGGATGCGGATGCGGATGCGCCTCGTAGGCACTCCGCGCCGTTCCAGGTGAGAGTTCGCTGGCATTGGCTCCACCATTGCTACTCAGCAGCTCTCCGCCCACGGCGTACCGCATCTGCTCGTACTGTCGCTCCTCAGCCTGCTGCTGCTGCTGCTGCTGTTGCTGCTGCTGCTGCTGGTGCTCTGTGTGGTAGCTGGCTGAGGGATCGGGACCGTCGTTGCCCTCGTTTATGAAGGGTCCGCGCTGCTGGTGGAGTGTGTGTTGCTGCTGCTGCTGTTGCTGCTGCTGCTGCTGAACGTGGTGGGCATGTGGATGGTGGCTCTGTGGCTGGGGAGGACTCTGCATCCCCACAAAGCGACTCAAGTGCGGCGCATGCAGATTAGCATCGCCACCATTGGAGGAGGTTGTGCCACTGCCACCACCGTTCGTTGCCCCGCTGCCGGACGCAGTGCGGGCCGTGCCCGGTGTCGTGGATGCGCTGGCCGTCACACTGGAGGCGGGGCCGGCTGCATCGTTGGCCAGATATGAGTGCATTGGGCTTTTGTTGTACTCCGATTTGATGCTCGCAACAGGACTGTACTCCGATTTGATAATGGGCATTGTTGTTGCACTCAACTTGTTATTGTTGTTGATGCAACTGGTGTTGTTGTTGTTCAGATAATGACTGGAGGTGAGCTTCAGTTTATCCAATGGATGCAACTCTTTCTCGTGCTTTTCCAAGTCCGCTAAAGTCGTTTAATCCCAAACAAAATAATAAATAAATGTCGACAAATAACAGAGAAAGTGTGGAAAGAAAGAGAGAGAGAGAGAGAGAGAGACGGGTTAAAGGATCATTCTTCAAGAAGTTGGAGAATTGTCAAATCTCAGCTTAGTGGTTCTGTGGTTCTGGTGGTTCCGTGGACTTCACTGGCCCTGTGGCCTCGTGGACGCACCTGTTCGATCAATGTTCGAGGGCTCGCTATTCAGACGACGACTGGCAGAGCGACGGACTGCGCGCGGACAGCCGGAGAGGCTGCGGTGCACACTGCGGTGCGGCTGCACGTGTCCGCGTCCGTTGCAGCCCGGTGTGGGGCATTTCAGTATCTGTTCGTGCAGTGCCAGCACTGTTCGATTTGATTCGATGCGATTCGGGTCGGGGTTTTCGATTAAGAGTGGATGGGAAATTTCATTAACGATCAGCGGTGAAATGTCAGCGATTTTCAAACTATCACAACTACAACGCAACATCAAATAGAAATGCATACCACAACCAGTGAAGGCATGAAAGAGAGGCACGCACACAAAGAGAGACAGAGAGAGAGAGAGAGAGATACAGTCAGACAAACAGAAAGAGATCGTCCACCACAAAGGCTATGGATAGAGAGAAGGAGAGAGCCATCTAACGATATATGTATCAAGCTTTCCTAAAGGAAGCCTTCGCAGCCCCTGAGCAACATGCAACTAAAGAAAGAGGGAGGTGTAGAGAGGTAAGAGAAAGGAAGAGACTAAAGGAGTTTGTGGAAGAAGGGCAAGGAAAGAAGCAGAGACTAGATTCTAAAATGACTGTGGAACCAAAAAGTGGATGTCAAACAAATGAGTAGAAAATTATATTCTGAAGAAGCTCAGAAAACAAAAGAACAACCTTCTTGAAAATATGTTATAGAAAAGATCTTAAAGTAATCTCCGGCATTGATAAAGAAGGGCCCATATCGAAAAAATTCCATTTTAAAGATAAACGAGATTTAATATGAGATGTCATAAATGGTCTATCATAAAATTTAAAGACTGACACTTTCGTTGAGGAGATTACGATAAAAACAAGATCTGGAAATGTGAATCGTAAAGCTTTTGATCTGAGAAATAAGATTTAAAAGGTAGATCCTTTAGCCGGCTATAGGTACGCTTTCGAAGAGAGGGTAAAGCAGGAAAGCTTCCGCAACACAGACACAGAAATGAACATAGACAACATGCTTTTTTCGCTACGGGAGAAATGAAAGCTCAGCGAACTCTTCATTCAAGCATGAATGAGCGGAGTGTAAAGAGAGTGAGAGATAGACAGTCAGTGAAAGAGAGAGACAGGTAGACAGGTAGAGAGGCACACACAAAGACAGAGATAGATGCAGAGAGATATATCATCTACTACGCATAGGAATGGACAACTTACATTCTGTGGTAACCTTATCGCGCTTCGGACAACCCGATAAACTGCCCAGGCCAAGCATGTTCGAGCAGGACGCAGAGAGTGTGTTGAAGAGAGAAAGAGAGAGAGAGAGAGAGAGAGAGAGAGAGAGTGGGAGAAAGATATGTAGATTGATTTCGCAAAACGCCCCAACACGAGATAAACGGTGCAACGGTACCTGCGATGATGCGAATACAATCCGGTGACATGTCCTTGGCCAGTGCAATGCGGTGTGGGGCATTTGGCGCCATCTACAATTAACCAATTAACAGTAAAAAGGTGAAATCAACGAAGCTCTGGGCAAAGCGATTGAGTGTGAGTCAGAGTCAGACAGAGAATCGCACACAGAGAGAGAAAGAGACAGACACGAGAGTGTGGAAGTGGCATAGATGGATGAAGCTCTGGAGCTGGAGCTGGATCTGGAGCTGGAGCTGGGGTGAGCGAGCGAGCGGTTTTCTAATTAATTATATGGGAAGCGACAGCGAAAGACAAGCCTGACGTTGTCCATACCCATACCCATACCCGCTCCCCTCCCCCGATGCCTTTACCTATGCTTTACCCCGCTTTCCACCCTTTCACTTCACAGAAACCTCTCCAAAAAAGCAACCTTGAAGAAGAAATGCTGGAAAAGCGAACGTACGAATTCTTTTAGCCTAAATAATTAATTAAAATTTGATGGAAAACAGCTTTGCATTATTTACTTTAAAAAGCTCACACACATACACACACACACACACACACACACACACACACATTAGACAGCTCCAGAGAGGGGGGTAGAGGAAGTGGGGGCCGGGTACGACATCTTTCAAAAATCAAACCAGACCCAGAGCCAAACCATGTCGTGCAGACGGAAAAACTTGGCCTTTTTCTAAGCGCATATTCCTACCAAGATAACAGCCATCCTGCCTTCCCTCCGGCCCGTACATACAAGCTACGTGTGTGATATATATTAGACAGTCGTGCGGGGGGTGGGTGGCGTTGGAGGGCGGCCTGGTTAATGAAATACTTTTCGAAATATTTTGCTCTTGCCTGCTTTTTGTTGTTGTGTCTATTACGTGGCCGGGCAAAATGTCAAACTGCAGCGGCAGCAGCCAGAACAGCGGCATCCGGAAAAGGTAAAAACCAACTCGACTCTAATTAGAATTTAATTAAAACCATGAAGGAGGGGGAAGTGGCAGTGGGAGGCTGAAGCATGTGGAGAGCCAAGTGTTTGTGCATTAGAATATTTTCCACTAACCATAAATGGTAGTGAAAAAGAGATACGGTAGGACCTGGGACCTGCCAGCCTCGCAGGCCGAAGCATTCGATACCCTTGTCGTTTTCTATATATTATCATATATATAACATATTCAACTACAGCTCTAAGAGTGGAATTTTTGTATCAAAGAAGTCATTAAAACTGAGAGACATGTGTGCATATAATCAGGCATAAGACTCAATTACATTATTATAATAAACATACTACATCTACTAGATACTTTGAAGATGGATCACTATGGATCCTGTTTTTAGTTGGGGCTTATACTCGTACTCTATGGCCTCAGATATACCTATTCTATGCGCTACAAGCGTCTACTTAGCAGAGGAATACCCTCTGGCAGGGTATAAAAAGAAACTAAAGATATCTGGAGAGGAGGCTGCTCAAGGGTTAAGCCTAATAAGCCACATTAGCGAAAGGCAGCAACAATAATACCAACAAAATGGGAAATATGAGTGCCTGCCACACGCTAATGACTTATTTCGTGCCACAAACACACAGGCACACACACACACACACACACATACACACGTACCGAACACTCGAAACTGCCTCTATTTTAGAGCTTTAGAGCCTTCTGTCAACTATTTAAAAAGTCATTCAAATTATATGAATACCAAAGTCAAGCCTGAGAGAGACACAGACCCTCTACCTACTCGTACATTTATATATATTCATGTTCAAGGCTCATCTAAGGCGGCGGTCCTCTGCAGCATATTAATGCCAAAACATAATGACAAAATAAATATGCAAAAGTGGTTTTGAAGGAAAACGTGCTCATAATGCTTTATATCTAATCATACACCCACGCTTTCCCACCCACTTCTGACAGTCTGTGGAAATTGTACAGCGAAATTAGTAAAAGGCAAAGCTCAAGGCCTTGCCAGGCCAAGGAGGCACTCACTCAGCCAGAAGATGTGTCTGTCTATGTCTACGTCTAGCTCTCAATGTGTGTGTGTTGTGGTATAAAGGGTTTACAAGCCATTAGTTGTTGTTGTGTGTCCCATTCTAGCCAACAAAATTGCTGCCCCCTGCCACCAGTCATACCTTATTCCCCTACCCTATATTCATACCCATTCCCGATCCCATTTTCATAACGACAAAATCGCTTAATGTCTTTTGGCTGCCTCAGCCACACTCTCACACCCTCACACGCTGCTGCTCCTTTCCTTTCCATCGACAGAGCGCATTGAATGAGCTGCAAAAAGGGTTTAATTTTTAGAAATTCGAGATATGCCTGTAAAGGGTCATACAAGGAGGTGGTTAGGTGAATCTGGGGTGCTGGGGCAGCAGTGAAATGTGCAAATAATAACAACAAAAGCCAACATTGTAATAATGGTCCTAATGTTGCTCATTATGCAAGCAGATTGAGTGGCTCTCTCATTCAGAATTCGAATGGGTCTGAAAATTGTTAAGTTGCTGTGATCACAGCATGCCTGGTTGCACTAATCGTCATTTCGCGACATTCCATTGTCCAAATTATGTGAAAAGTTGCTTCACTATAGCACGTATCTCATGAGGGAATCACATAAGTCTGGTACTCATACGAACAAAATTATTATAAAGTGTTCCATCAAAAGCAAAGAGGTGATGTGTGGATTACACTTTCTTATAAATTAGTTAAACATTAAAAGTGACTCTGATTTTTAGATAAATACCGTTTAAAAGTGCTTATTTCAATGGTAAACTACACCGTACCATAAATATATTATTCTCGGCGTTGATCGTAAGTCTCGCTGGTTATTGCCCGAGTATGAATGATCACGGCTGTCCCTTTCTTTGATTCAAATTGAGTGGATACCTCAAAAAATGGATACCTTTCTGAATTTACTCGTGAAGGAATGTGCGAGTAATTAAGTTAGACACAGCATCGCTACTCGTTGGTTCTTAAGTGGGTGGGTAATCGGTCATTCTTTGGCGAGTAGATCAAAACACATCACAGAAATTTGCTCATAATTGGGTTGGAAAATGACCACAGGAACTCCATCTGTCATCGCCCGCTGTTTCGTTGGGTAAGATTGAGTTTCTTGGGCACTTAGTCTCTCTCTATCTGTCTGTCATGTAGTTGAAGCGGCGAGTGAGTACAGTACTGCCGCTCGCTCATTCTATACATCCATATGTATAATACTTCATCCACAAAACCACACACACTGGAACACTCTCTCAGTTTCTGTCACTTTTTGGGCAGGGTTGGGACGGGTTGAGACTGTTGGGGGGTGGGGCTTTGTTCTGTTTTTGATTTTGCCAATTGAAGTGGTAAACTCAATGCAACAAGAAGTCTCGCTCACATCATCAGCCGATCGATCAGTTGAACCGTAACCGGAGACCAAACCGAACCACAACGAATCACAGTACTGTGATGCTGGAGCACAGTATCCGGGATTTGATTCACACCAAATCACAGTCAACTGTAAAGTCTCGTTTACTATGCTTACTATGAAGAACTTACCGCGATTCTGGCTGCCCGGCGAGTAGCTAGGTGCCGGCGTCGATGTCGATGTCGCTGTCGATGCTGCTGTTCCTCCTGTGGGCGGACTACTCGTGGATGGGGGAGTGGCGACCAGCGGTACACCCACAACACCTTCCCGGGCAATGTCCTGCATCACTGAGGCTGCTCGACTGCCCACGCCTGCCGGCTGCAGGATCGTATACTGTTTGGCATCCACCTGGGACCCACCATGACCCGTGCCCGTGCCCGAGCCCGAGCCGGTTCCTGGCAATGCTCCTGCCAGCGGCTCCTTGGAGTTCTTTGAGGGCTTTTCGCCCAGCTGGCTGGCTATGTCAAAGGCGGCCCGTGGCGGCAATGGAGTCGGCTCCAGGCTCAATTGCTGCTGCTGTTGCTGTTGCTGTTGACTGGCGGCGGCGGCTGCCGCATAGCCATAGTAGGCCAATCCGGCGGCGGACTCTGCTGCTGCGGCCGCATTATAGGCGCTTGTCGTATAGTGAGCATGGGCATGGGCCTGGGCCTGGGCCTGGGCCTGGGCATGGGCATGTGCGTGGGCAGCGGCCGCATAGTTGCGTTTGATAAAGTCGATGGGAGGCTTGAAGGCCGAGGCGGCCTGGGCGTACACATTGCTGGCGGCCCCCTCCAGATCCATGTCCTCTGGTCCACCACCCAGAGCGGTGCCTGTGGCTGTGACCGGGGCCAGCTTCTTGCCCCGCTCGCGATCCTCGAGAGTGGCGCCGGCATTGAGGCGGGCCTGGTCATTCTCCTTCTGTCTGTGGAAACGTGGAAACAGGGATACAGTTGCAGTTGTTGTGGGAGTTCTGGGTGCAATGGCCTCATACTTTTGCTTCTCTTCGAAGAGGTTCTGGAAGGGCGGTGGATTCTCGTCCTGCTCCTGCAATCTGTACAGATTGGCCCGGGCATCGGGCCAGCTACCGGACAGACTCTTCAATGCCGCCTGCGTCTCCCGAATGAGGGTCTCATCATCCTGATCTGCATCGGCGGCTGTCATTTTAGCCACTCCGGCTGTTCCGACAGTGGGGATGCTTGTCGGAGGACTCTCAGGGCTGTCCGGGATGGGGCCCTGTTTTCGTTTCTTTTGTGGCAATATGTTGTTATTGTTGCTATTACTGTTGTTGTTGTTGTTGTTATTGTTGTTGTTGTTGAGGGCCGCGTCCTCATCGCCACTGCAGCGCTTCCTGCGCTTTATGGCTGTCGCCTCAAGATCACTGCTGGTGTTGGTGTTGCCCCCGCTGTGGTTGTTGCTGTTGCTATTGCTCTCGGCCAAGGGCGTGTCCTTGGTGAGTGGACGCTTGGAAAGCGCCATCTTGTGGTGGGCCCTTCTGCTCTAAGCCAGTTCGCTGATCAGAAGAGATTCAGATTCGAGTTTGGGATTTGAAAAAAATTTTGATGGTTGTGTTTGATAGCGTGACGAAACTTGTGTGTGTAAACAGGAGCGGCGCAACTAGCATCATTATTTTCAACATCAGAATCTTCAGCTTCCGTAATCCCAGTAGATTGCAGATCGGATCGCTTGCAGAGGAAACTGCCCCGAGACCACACTAAACAAAATCGAACCGAATCTGAAGAGCCATGTTCTAACGTTCAGGGTGGGCTTTATTATATCAATCAACTTTGGGAGTTATTAAGAACTGCGATTTTATGGGGAATTCGAGCTTTCGGATGCTTTCCTTTCCTTCCTTTCATACTATTTGTATCCCTAATTGATTGCATTAGCTGCCTGGTTTGATTTGCGGCGTCTGCATTTAACTACTAAGTATATGGTCTATATGATTTTGTGTGTTTATAAAACCTTCCGCTGGTACATATTCTAAAATTTAAAAGACTGCTATCAAACATAAATTTTTTAATTTGTACATTTAAAAATAACGACCCCAAAAAAAAACTAAATTTAGGTGGGCAAACTTCTAGGTACTTGCTTTTTTTTTCTTATGTTTCGATAATGTTTGTATATATGTATGTTTGCATGATAAGAAAAATTGCTTGAATGAAATGAAGTGTTTGTAACTGGGGCTGTCAAAATATTCGAAGCCGATTCGAATACAATTCTTAGTTATTTAGCTGCTGAAAACTGCACTTAATAATTTGCGTTGCTAAGATTGGGACCCCGTATGTATGTGTTTCATTTGAGCGAATACTAATAGTAATGTGAAAGGTAAATCTTAAGTTTACTGAAGTTTTGGTACTTGATAACGATCTATAATATTCGCAGTATCTGAAAAAATTCAGATATTCAGACTTCTATTCTAGGAATTACATTCTGCTTCTCTGGCGGTTCCAGCGTGGAACATTCCTTGGGTACCAACTCGTAATACACACTAATATGGCCTAAATGCGATCCATCGAATATGAGTAAAACCCTTAAAAAATTCTCGATAATCGTTTGTCAATTTATCAAATTCTCAATGTGATTATTCTTGTTGCATTGAATTTCTTGTATATATTTCGCTTTTAGTTTCGTTTTTGGTTTTCTTTTGCGGATCATTTTCTGCTTCGTTCGTTTCAATTTCAGTTTGAATTTCTGTTTTTGGTTTGCTTCAGATAGTTTTTGATTTTTGGGGCTGGGGCGGGACAAATATGTGGCTAAATTATGGGTAAGGTCTGTTTTGGGATCAGTTCGGTTCTTTGGCGTTCCGAGAAACTCGAAATCTTTTAAGGGTTGACGAGAGAGACAAAATTGGCTAGGGGATTGATTACAGATTCAAATATATATGAACTTTACCTATTTTGTGAATTCTGTTTCTGTTTCTGTTTCAGTTTCGATTTTGTTTTTGAGTTTGGTTTCAGATTTTTTCGGATTCTGTTTCGATATTCGTATCAGTTTATTTTTGTGTGTTTTTTTGTTAATTTTTTCGTTTTCAGTTTCGATTTCGGTTGACTGTATCGATTGTGTTTACGATTTTCTATAAGCATTTGATTCTTTTTTGTTAACACTTTCAACTTGGACACTTCTACATTTTCTTTTGCTTTCCTCTTCGATTTCCTTTTGGGATTTTCTTATTGGTTGTGTCTTTTTATCATTCGTTATTCTTCTGGCTTGTGAATGCTGTTGTTGCTTTGCTGACGTTGCTGCTGGATAATGTTGCTGCTGATCTTCATCTTTCCGTTGCCTCCACGTACACACACACACCTAGGCACCTGCACGCACACAAGCACTCACACACACAAACTGACATGGAAAAACACCAGAAAAAACACAAAAACAAACAACCAAAAAAAAAAACAAGGAAAAACTACCAAAAATAATTCAAACTAGAGAAACGAAATAACTTTTTATTAGGCACTCACTTTGTTGGGTCAAATTTGTTTGAAATTTTGTCAACGTTTCGGCTCGGCAGCGGCGTCTGCGAGGTCTTCAAGGATTTGCAAGTTCAAAGTTGTTCTTGGTAGAGGGCTTGATCGGAGGAATTGATCGGCCGATGGAGGGTGTTAAACTTTTCCGGCATCGGAGGCGTATACACAATATCAATTTGGCCGCGCACTTTCCACTTTTGGACAATTGTTGTTTCCACTATACTTCGGTTGATTCTTCTTATTGTTTCACTGCACTGTTTTAAGGAGGGTGCTGCCGGGAAGGGGGTGGTTGCGGGGGTTGCGGATCTGGGACCGGGAGAAGGGGCTAGTCTATGTCTATAAGCAGCATGACCTCCGGAAGAGTTGATTTTAGTTTTGCGCGTAGTTCGGAAAAGTTTTTTCTCGTAACTTTGATGCCGCGCAAAAGTTTGAATGTCTCTGTGGCCTCCGTGCTTCTCTGTATTTCTTTGTTTCTCCGTCTTTGTTTGCTGCTCTCCGTATTTCTCCGTGTTTCTCCGTATCTCCGTATTTCCGTCTCCGTCCGTTAGTTCTCAAACGAGGTTGCCCTCTGGGTCTGGGGCCGCTTTTCGCCGCTTGGGCGAGAGAATTGCAATAAAAGTCGTCTGTCTCAGCGAGGCGGCGGTGTAGTCCGGACGTCCAAAACCCGACTGCTGGATGCGTTTTGGGGTAATAAAATTTTACATCGGCAGCAGCGCGACCAGCTCAGTTGGCGTCGGCGCTGACAGAAGCAGCGGAGCTGGCGACGCGGCAGCCACAACAACAAACAACAAAAAACGACGAACCAACGGAATGGTCGAACGAACGCATCGGAACACTTTGGAGCCTGTCCGGGGGATTCCCAGCTAATCTGCCGCTTCTGCTTTTCCTCTTCCTTTGATCCTGCTTCTTCTTCACGACTGCACTCGGACACATTCACATTCACACACACACGCACACACTTCGGCTTCGCCTACACTTCGTTTGCGTTGGCGAGGGGGTTGGTTGGTCGGTTCTCGTGTGGGTTTCGGGTCGTGACGATGTTCCTTTCTATACTGTTCCGCTTCGTTTTCGGCGTCGCTTCGCGTCGCGTCGCGTACCGTTACTCTCTCTTTTTGGGGCCCAGGAGGAAGGCCGACAACGTGCGTGTCTACCTGTTCTAAGTTCGCTGCCAACTGACAGTTTTCCCAAAGTTGTCGAACTCTTAGAACGCGAAGAAAACTGCAGCCAAAAATGTTGTCGACGTCTGCGTCGATGCCAGCGTCGCTGTCGCTGTCGCCTCGCCGTCGCCGTCGCAGCCGAGAATTGATGGTGATGCCACAGACGGCGTCAGCGTCGTGTTTTCGGAGTAAAGCCGAACGGTTTTCGTGGCCCTTTGCTGCCTTCCCCTGTTTGGTCACCCACATGTAGAACAGTGCCAAAGCGGCTGGTAGCACAGTTATATGCCAGTTACGGAGTCGGCGCAGTGCCCGGCTCAAGGCGCACTGCCTACCCCTTGTACGCTGCGACTGCGACTGCGACGTCGACTGCGACGGTTTCGAGTTCGGGTTCGGGTTCGGGTCAAAAATATCTCCGAAAAAATCGCACAGACGTGGACGGAATGACGAAGGGCGCAGGGCGATACGGCGCATTCCGTCAGCCGCCCGCCAGTTGCTGATTTGGCTTTCATTTCGGTGCCTCTCTAATTGTAAATTCCAACAGCGGCAGAGGTAGCAGCAGCGACGGCAGCGGCGGCAGCAGCAGCAGCAGCGTTGGTTGCCCACAAATGACTTTATCCCGTCGTCGACTCAAGTCTAGAGTCCATGGACCGTGGTCCGTGGTCCGTAGTCCGCGGTCCGCTGATCCCGTAGTCATCGCTGGGCGCCGATCAACACAGATCGATCCAAGCCGGGGCTCTGGCGCCCCAACCATTTAAAGTAGTCCCGTCTTATCAGCAGTGCCCATGCAGCAGAGCATCACTAAGAGCTGCCACGCAACTTGCCAAAGTGCTTGACGCATTCGCCGGACGCTTGGACGCACGGACAGGTGGACAGGTGGACAGGTGGACGTTGGACGGACGGACTTGTGATTCAAAGCGCATCTACTCGTGGCCGAAGCAGCTGTCAAACTTGCATCGGTCGATCGATCATCATCAGCAGCAGCAGTGGCAGCAGCAGTAGGAGCATCATGAGTAGTTGTGGAAGGCCCGGATACTTTAGGGAATGCCGTTGCTGCTGAAGCTACGACTGATACTGATTATCCGATTGATATCTCCGATTCCTACGGCTTGTACTACGGTGGATTCTACTACTACTACCGACCCGCGTCTAAAGATACTCCTGATGCTACTAGTAGTATTAATGCTGATATTACTTCTGATAACACTGCCGCTGAGTATGAGTCTGTTGGAATTCGCTGTGGAGCGCTCCCGCTGCTGCGTTTGTGCGTGTGCTTTTTTTTGCAGTTCTGTGAATACGATTTTCTGGAGGGAGGAAATAGTTGAGAGATTTGTTGCGCTCAGATTAGTTATCCGTAGATTGAGATCGAGATTTTAGAGTTGCCGATGATTGTCAATCAATCGATTATGCTATTCGATAGTTGATGACGAAGCTCGCAAAAGTTTGCTTTGATTTTGGTTGAATTCAGCTTAAATCTCCGTAAATCTCCTGCAGAATGGCCCATTATAAAATATTTTATTTTCTAATGGACTGAACATTGCCGGGGCTCCTATCGATAGATGAAATAGTTTACATAGTCCAAGGTGAATGCAATCATATGCCATTTATTCATGATTAGTTATTTTAGTTGATATATTTCAAATTGTTCTAGTTTGATCAGATTTAATCTATTAAGCATTAAAGCATAGGAATAGTTTTCTGACGAATTACGTGCGCTCAGTGGCATTCGATAGAGTAACTGATCTTTTGATACTAACTAATTTTCTTTTGAGCCAAGCTTATCTAAGGAAACGAAACATTTATTCAAATTCTTTTATCGAGAAATATTTATCAATAGTAACATATTTTATTTATTGCG